CATAGCTTCGCCATTGATATGGAGAGCAGGATCTGGTACTCACATTGATATCTAGGAGGATCATTGGATCCCTAGCATCCCAATGAGAAAGATAATCGAATCAATAGAACATGTCCTTCTCATAAAGGTTGATGAGCTAATGAACCTTTTAACGGGATCTTGGAATGAGGACCTAATCGGGGATATTTTTATACCTATTGATGTAGAAAGAATTTTGAAGATCCCAATGAATGCTAATATGTTGGAAGATTTCGTTGCATGGAACAAAACAACATAATTTACCTTCTCAGTCCGATTAGCATATTCGGCCAAATGTGATCATCAGTTTTCGGGAGAACAAGAAGGGAAGATGGTGAGGGAACGGACGAAGTGAACCCAGTGTGGGAAATTATATGGAATTTGGATGTTCCTAGCTATGCCATACTAGCAGCGAGACTTATTCCCGTGTATCCACAATGTACGGTATGTAAAGCTGGAGCAGAGAACATCAGCATTTACTGTTCATGTCTGAGCGAGCCCGGCAAGGTTGGAAGTTTCTCGGATTCCATGATATTATTGAAGAAGCGCTTTTTCCTAATAAGTTTTGGAGGACATCCTTCGTAACAACCGCCGATCATCGCCGCCTCACCGGTTCTCAGAAAAATCAACATGAAGGAAATTGTTGCAGTGGGCGCCTGACACATTTGGTGGCAAAGAACTTCTGAAAGGCCAGCAAGTAGCTTCGCAGGACGACGTTAGATATCCAGGCATTCACCTCCAACAATTCTACTGGACGAGTAGTGAATGCACATGAAACATTATGGACAAAGCCACCATGGGGTGCATATAAAGTGAATATTGATGCTGCATCCACCCAGGACAGATGTAGTGAAGTTCCGGCGAAACACATCCCATCCTTGTGCCAGGTTAATCGACTCCAATCGAGATAAAAAAAATTGCCATGGCATAAGACAAGGGCCAATCAAATCCCGCCTGAAAGAAATATTCGGTGGGGATGAACTGAGCACCTGCGCTAGTGTCATGCTTATCACGAACAATGCCGTACAAAGCTGGATATTGTTCTCGAAGGCTGGTACTAGCCAGTTGTCCTCCCAGAAACGAATCTCTGACTCATCATTTATCACGAAGGATCCAAAGTGGAAAATGTGTTTCTTCGCCGCCATTAGACCAGCCCTAATGTGTGAGCCACCAGGCTACCAATAGGCATGTGACACAGCTTTTTGACCTACATACTTATTGCACAACAAGGTTTGCCAAATGCCATCCTCAGAAAAAGGTATCATCTACTGGATAGGGTAAGCTCTGATTGACTAGACTTCACTATGAATATTGATGGGGAGATTGCCGGTTAGAAGTGGAACTGGGCCCAAATCTGGCTAGGTGTGAGTGGAAGGAATAAGCAGTTTCAAGGATAACCCCGTTCAGAGTCCACGGTCAAGAAAGGAAGACACAAATAAAGCATCGCCCGGACCCCTCCAAACAAAGGAAGGAGAAGCCATGACAAGGAAAGAACAAGCCGTCCCCAACCAGAACACTGAACTACCGAGATTAGGGTGTCTTCTACTTCAAGATCGAAGCTGCCCATCACCATCAATATGGTGCACATGCAGTTGATGGTGGTGGTGGTGGTCTTGGGGATGGTGGTGATGGTGGAGGCCTTGATGGTGATGGTGGTGATTTTCTTGGACTTCCCGTCGAGATCGGCCACCAAATATCTCCAGCAACTTAGTGTACAAGTATCCTACATTGTACTTTATTTCAAACAAGCGAGCTTAGGGTTGTTACTCACATTGCAGGAGCTTGAACCTATGTAAATCTTCTAACTTGAGGTTATGTCCCGCAGCCACATAACTCACGCATGCTATTGTACTGTTGTTCGGGGACCTTGCAAAACACCATCAACATGGATGGATCCGGAGCGGGCGATGCCGGGAATGCAGCAATGAGGTGGATTCGGCAGCCAGAGGGCTGCTCATGCGAGAAGAAGAGGGAAATGAAGCTTCCTCCCCATTTTGGAGGTCCTAACAGTGGCTCTACTGCGTCTTCTTTTTTCCAAAGCCCCTAAAAACAGTTTTGGGCTTCAGCTGGAGATGCGCTGACTGATTGGAAAGGTGGACTATGTGCATCGTCGCGCAACATTAATTCCTTTTGCCTGCATCATCATATCATGGCTCAATTGGTTGAGACTAAATACGTATTAGTAGAAAAAGGGCTTTTAGTCCCGGTTCATAAGGGCCTTTAGTTCCGGTTCTGGAACCGGGACTAAAGGGTCGTTACTAAAGCCTTCCCCTTCAGTCTCGGTTCTTACACGAACCGGGACTAAAGGCTCTCCACGTGGCCGCTGCCTGAAGAAATTTTTATGATTTTTTTTAAAAAAAAATTGATTTTTTTTATTTTCAAATTTCTAAATTATTTTAACCTCTCATCTCTAATCACCCCTCATCACTATTCAATTTAACCTCTAATCACCCCTCATCATCTAACTTCCCGGACGGTCACCCATCCTCTCACTACTCCAGCCTGAGCACGCTTATCTTCCGGGTTCTATTCTCCATCGTTTCCAAGTCTGCACTTGTTGTTTTACTAACAATAGTAAGATGTCAATCCTATTAACCTCAGAAATTTAGCTTGAGCATGAAGTCACACATTTCACTGTTTGAGTTTGAAACTATTGTTCTAAAAAATAACACTAACATTTAGTAACACTAATATTTCTTGAATAATTAGTTTGACCATTGTTTGACCACAGTTTGACCATAGTTTGACCAGATATGACCAAAATTCAAAAAAACTGAAATAATTATTTAGTAACACTAATATTCTTGAATAATTATTTAGTAACACTAATACTTCTTGAATAAGTAGTTTGACCATAGTTTGACCAGATTTAACAAAAATTAAAAAAATCTGATTTATTTTGAATTTTTTTGCCTCCAGATCTTAAAAGCCCCGTAACTTTTTTTCTGTTAGGTTTTTGAGGATTTTGGAAATGTTTAACGGGGTTCCGGGAAGTTAGTGTTTCTGTGCCATGAACCGGTACTAATGCCTTAAACCCCATTAGTACCGGTTGGTGGCTCGAACCGGAACTAAAGGTCTAACCTTTAGTACCGGTTGGTGCCACGAACCAGTACTAATGGGCATCACACCCTTTAGTCCCGGTTCGTGGCACCAACCGGGACTAAAAGTTCCAAACAAACCGGGACAAATGGCCCACGTGGCCCGGCCGGCCCCCTGGGCTCACGAACCGGGACTAATGGGCTAACCCGGTCTAGACCAAAGCCCTTTTTTCTACTAGTGATGGCTCATATGTTCAAGTTAAAATATAAGTTTTATTTATTATTTATTTTTGAACGGGAGAACACATTGCTGCCACCATGCAAGGCTCGCACGAACCATGACAGTCGGCAAAAACCACATGCAAAAAACTGTGCCTTCACTCCTTCAGGCATCAGCACTTCAGCAGTCAGCAACACAGTACGGTTATTCAACTTTGACCCATCTAAATCACTCCCAATTCCCAACTTTAGTTCTCACGGAAGTAAGAAACCACCAAGATAATTGTCTAACGATAAACAGGTAAGTTTCTTGCTCAATGCCTCCCTCATTTGGAGATAAGCTACATAACTTTCGCTCAGAGAGTTGAAGATAATAGTACCAGTAGCATGCCTTCAGGCTAACATTTCTCACAGCGATTGATGTAAACCATCATCTTCAAAGATCAAACTTGAATCCCATAAAAAAACATGTTCACTCAAATCAACCTCAGAAGCACATAATAAGTTTCTCAAACTTGAACCATCCAAATTACTCTCAAATTGACAAAGTTCTCACGGAAGTAAGAAAAATACTAAGATAACGTCTCATGATAACGTTCCAAAGTAAGCCACATAGTTTTCCACCACCAGGGTTCAGGATCACCAGAGCAGCAGCATGCGATACATGCTTCAGGCTAACATTCCTCGCGGCGAATGATGTGGATCACCATAGTCAGAGGCTCCTTATTCGTTATCAGCTTGAAGAGACAGAGGTCACCCTCCCGCAGGCGGTTGTCGCGGGCGAAAAACGTCCATCCTTTGAGAACCCTCATCGCATGAGTTGTGTGTTGCATGCTGTGTTGCATCTTGGTAGGCCATGATCCACTCCTCCCCTCCCTATGAAGCACCAAACTGACCTGGCTACTCTTTCCACGATGATGGCCAGAAGCAGACTTCTGAACAAGATATCTGCCTGTGTATTGGTAGCCAAAGTGCTGTTTATATACATAAAAAGGGGCAAATGTTAGAATGACACAATTGCAAAGATATTTGGAAATTTGTTCCGATCTGAAGTGTACTGATAGGAAGCGACAGAAAATGTTTTCCATGAACTTACTAGGGTGGGAGTGTTACCGCCACCACCCCGATAGACATTGGACTTGCTCATGATAGCAACATACAAGGGTACTTCTGACTCGATTTCCTCAACTTTCTCCAACACTTTCTTCTCTTGTGCTCGAGTTAGGGAAGCTTTGTCTGCCAGCATGAAGCGAGGTTCGGAACCTCCCTCAGAATCATCAGAGACTCCATGCTCTTCATGTTCCCAAGAATACTCTTCACCTGGACAAGTCATCACACGAATCAGAGAAGTATAATGCAAAATGAAATGTGTCACATCCTAGCAGTGGCAAGATCTTAGTGTCAAGCTGGCATACCATCAGTAGGTGGTTCCTCCATAGCACCTGCCATCTTTGTGCTTCTCCTTCCATGATTTGAGCCAACACCAGTTCTTGCACTAGGGGAATGATCAATGCCCGCTTCGTGAAGGAGATGGACAGTCATTGTGAATCTTTTCTCCTTAACAATTGTCATTGGTTCAAAGAGGCAGATATCGCCTTCTCTAATATGATTGTCAGGGACAAAGTTCCCTAATGAAAGGTTGCGGCGACCAGCGTCCGACGTTCCAGATGGCCTGATATGGAATTTGCACTTCCAACCCTTGTTTTTTCGAGGCAGCTGGAGTATGATATTTGTTCCTTCGCATGGCAAGTGCTTGCGTGCGTAATCTTTACATAGTACCTAATTGAAAAAGGGATAGAAAGTGACAGTGATAATGTTGAGCTATTTTATCCGGCAGCCTAAGTACTAAACAATTAAAACATTTGGATTGTCAGAAAGGCTGAATCGTACAATACACACAGTTTCAACTGATAAGGCAACAATAATACTGATTTAGACAATAATAATGCTGATTTAGTTATGTACTTCATCTGTATGCATGGTTTCAACTGTCTGAATAGATGCATTTTGTGCAAACATATCCTTTGGAGCAAGACCACCAACTTCCCTAAATAGAAAAGAAATTGTACATGGGTACAGAAAAAGAGCAGTTCATACAAAATGCAACGGTAAAATTTACGTACCAGAGTACCACTCTGCTCGACGTTGCTCTTCTTCATCTGTACAACAAGCACTGGGATTTCGGGTCGAATTTTCTTTACAAGTGCAAGAACTTTCGCCTTCTGTGCTTCTGTAAGATAGCACCGCCCTGAGAAGACACAATATTTTGAAAGCATCTGTTGATCATCCGACTCCACAGAATTGTCTTCTGCTGTAAAAAGAAGTTTCGACAGTAAGAGAAAATGTGGCGGAGAGAAGTAAAAGAATAATCTGAGTACACAACTTAACCTGAGAATTCCTCAGAAGAATAAGATACTGCAGGCATCTTTGCTGATTTTTTGTAGCAGTACAAGCTTTCCTTCTGGCTTCCACCTGAATCTGAACCTTCCCCTGCTGACGACTGAGTAACGCCATCTTGAGAACTGCTCGAATTATCAGCATAGCGACTGCACAAGGCTTTCTCCTTCCCATTGGAATCAAATATCGTAACCTCAAAGAGGGCATTACCGAGGTACCGTAACATCAAGGAATAGTTTTCTTCGATTTCATTTGCATCAAGAAATGCTGCCCACCCAAACTTGAGGATAATTCTATTCATATTCTCACTAACTCCAACATCATATATGATACCATCAGGGGCTTGCAGTTTGATGGTTCTCCAGATTTTGCCCCCAAGTTGACTAACAAACCAGTCTGGTAAGACCTGTAACAAGCAGCAATTGTGCAAAAAATGTTTGAGGCAACGAACAAACTCTACAAACATCAGACAACCACTGAACTAGGAAAGTTAGAAAGGGCTTACCAAACTATGCATAAAGTTTCCATTTATTTTTCTGATGAACCTTATCTTCCTCTCACAGCATTCGCAAGGGTTGCTCATCTTGGATACGTCCTGTTAAATGAATCACATACTATGTCAGGTGGCACATTCAAATTTCTGTTTGCGTAATTAGTAATACCATAAAATCACTCAAGATTCATAACTATGCCCTAGAATCTTTTCAGAGTAAGGAGACGGTTTCTTTATTAAAAAATAAGAGCAGCAACAAAATGTTGTGAACACTATAAAACTAATGCTGACGTAAAAATCTGTTTTGATTACCATGTAAAAAGAAAGCAAAACAACACTGGAATAAAATTACAAATACTTGGCAGAAGAAGTACTGGCTTGATCTTTCCTATGAATGCGATAATAAGATCCCTTTGTTAGGTTACAAGGGGGCCGGGTAAATGCAGATCTAAATAAATCACTGATATCACTTATAATAGAAAGAAATAATCAGCTTCTGAAATTCCTATCATTGTACAACATCAAAGAATAACGTTCTTCTAAATTGTATGTGTGGAAGAAGAAAGGACATGACTAAAAAAACAAAGAGAGCAACTTGGCAGAAAAAGCCCTGTCCTGATCTTTCTGATGCATACAAGAATTTTCTAATTGAATCTATTGATCACTAGGCTCCATTTGTGATGTTACTAGGGAGATGAAATGCATATCTAAATTGATCAACGATATCTCTTTAAAAACCAAAAAACTAACTGATGGTTAACAACCATATAGACTCAGTTTCTGTCGTTGTATAGCATCACTGTTTATGAAGTTCAGCAGAAATAAGTAGAAATCAAAAACAGGAGAGTGCTGCTCCTCCATATGCAGATGTAGAAGAAGAAGAAAGAACGTGACTAAACTGCAAACAAAAAGAACAACTTGGAAGAAGAAGCATCCGTGGTGCTGAAGGGCAGAAAGCAGAACGTATCTATGGAATGCAAATCCGGGCTTACTTATGAAGGGGGCGTCCTGGCACTGGAAGGGCACACGCACACCAGAAGTACGTCATTTATTATGAAGGGGGCGTTCACTGCATGGTCAAGTCTTCTCATATGCCCAAGCCATAAATCTATTACAGTATACCCACGCTTCCCTAAATTAATGGCATGGTTAACCTCCTTAATTAATTACCATGATTTGACAAAAAACTAGAGAGACTATTTCCCAACAGTACAACTCCAATCAAAGTGGCAACACAGCATGCAGACTTCTCATATTCCCCAAAAATCAGTTTCCCTATAGCTGCTTTCTCAAAACTCGAAACTAGTTTACTCGCACATGGAAAATTTGCAAGGAAAATATTTCTTGCCTAATATTTTCTTGATAATTCTACTTCCTCATCAGAGTTTGAACCTGAAAACATCATGCCATATACTCCATGTTGGATTATTATTTTTCCGAAAAGGAGATTAAACCGCTGGCCTATGCATAAACCAATGCACGCCATTTATTCATTTATTCTAACTCATTCAGGAGATGTGTGTAGCTTTTGGTCCATATTAAGCAACTTAAAAAAACGTACTGAATTCAGGAGTATCATTGTATAGCTTTGACATGTTTCATTGGTGCCATGCGAACTGAATAAATTATAACAGATATATCCAATGAGAAGGTCATCGGAATTCTTATTCTGAATACAACCAGTAGTACCAGAAAGCAGCATGGTAAGAACCCATTAAGCTACTCCCTCCTTCCATCTATATAGGGCCTAATGCGTTTTTCGAGGCTAACATTGACCAAATATTAGAGCAATAATATATGACATGCAACTTACACAAAGCACATCGTTAAATTCGTATGTGAAAGGATCTTTCAATGATATAATTTTCAGATTGTGCATGTCATGTACTATTAATCTTGTCAATAGTCAAAGGCGGTCTTAAAAAACGCATTAGGCCCTATATAGATGGAAGGAGGGAGTAGTAAAAATCACTGTGGACAAAGTGCTGACAATAGATGGGAAACCAAAGACATTCTCACGATGCAATACGGTAACACAACCACGAATTACCAACAGCTATAGTCCAGCGTCCAACTAACTAATTGAACATGCTATCAACGTGGATTCTCACATAACAGAGAAAAATATTATGGCTTCTCATATTCTCACATGTTAACAAAATCCCATTATCAACTAAAACACTGATAGTAGTACTAGATAATAATAATGTAGTAATAGAGTCAGTGTGTAATTTCTAATCACATACTCGGGCTACTGGGTCTGGGTGTCATACTGTCATTGCAGATTAGCTAGTATGGTTGGACCAAATCCCACTATGGCCGGCAGGAGTTGCGGAACAGTTTGAACAACCAGTATGCACTGCCTCAAATTCTGCAAGTGCACTCTAGTGTGCTGCAGAGAACCCACGTGCAAAAACAGTGCCCTCAAACAAGAGCAAGTTAGCAACACATCACAGGTTGTTCAAACTTGACCCACCCAACCATAACAAAGTTATCACAGAACTAAGCGTTTCATGCTCAACAGCTCCCTCGTTTGGAGGCGAGCCACAGTTTTCCACTCTCAGACTGACCCAGAGTTCAAGATCATCATAGTATCAGCATGCAAGCCATGCTTCAGGATAACATTACTAGTGGCGAACGATGTAGACCATCATCACCAGCAGCTCCTCGCTCTTCAGCAGCTTGAAGAGGCAGAGGTCCCCCTCCCGCAGCTTGTTGTCGCGGGCGAAAGATGGCCATCCTTTGAGAACCCTCGAGCCTCGCGAGCTATGCCGCAGCTTGGTACACCATGACCTACTCTTGCCCTCCCGCAGAAACACCAACTCGACTCCTCTACGTTTTCCACAAGGATGGCCACCAGCAAACTTCTCAACAAGATACCTGGTTGCGTACTGCGAGCCAAAGCGCTGTTCATATACATAACAGAGGGCAAATGTTAGAATGACACAGATGCAGACACACGTGGAAATTCACTCCTATTTATCATATCATTTTATCAAAGGATACGGATGCAATCCAGGAACTGATAGAAAGCAAAAGAAATGTTTCCTTGAACTTACTAGCATGGGATTGTTTTGGCTGCCACGCTGACAGACAGTGCTCTTGCTCATGATAGCAACATAAAAGGGTGGTTTGAACTTAATCTTCTTAACTTTCTTTAACAATTTCTTCCGCTGTGCTGGTGTTGGACAAGCTTTGTCTGACAGCATGAAGAGACGCCCAAAAGCTCCCTCGGAATCCTCAGAGACTTCATGCTCTTGACACAGACAAGTTTTCATATGAATCAGACATATATAATGTGAACCCGAGTGTGAGATATGCATCCTAGCAGTGGGAACAGCTTAGTGTCGTGCTGACTTACCGTCGGTGTGTGGTTTGTCCTTAACGGCGCCCATCTTGGCCCTTTTCCTTCCATGATTTGAGCCAATGTCAGTTCTTCTACCAGGGGAGTGATCAATATTCACTTTGTCAAGGACATGGACTGTCACTATGAACCTTCTCTGCTTCACATTTGTCATTGGTTGAAAGAGGCAGATATGACCCTCTCTAATATGGTTGTCACAGGCAAAGTTGTACAAAAAGAGGTTGCGCCGACCTGCATCAGATGTGCCAGATGGCCTGATGCGGAATGTGCATTTCCAATCCTTGTTCTTCCCAGGCAGCTGGAGTACGGCAGTTGTATCTTCACATGGAAAGTGCTCGAGCGCATAATCCTTATGTATTATCTAATTGAAAAAAGGACAAAATGTGATTGTGATACTGTTATGCTTGTTATATCTGAGAGTTGAAGTAGTAAAGAGTTAACAAGCTAAGACTGGCACAACTCACAAGGCATGGATAATGTAGATTTAGCAATGCATATGCATTTCGTTGCAAATATATCAGTCAGAGTTTTGAGTTAGAACCAGAACACCGACTGACTTAAATAGTATCATAACAAGATAATGTGTTTAGGTACAGACAGTGAGCAATTTTCATACAAAATGCAGTTGGCAAAACTTACGTACCAGAGTAGCATGCCGTTTTACATTCGACTTCTTCATCTGTACAACTAGCACTGTGATTTTAGATTGAATTTTCTCTATAAGCGCATCTATTTTCAGCTTCTGTGCTTTTGTAAGATAGCACTGCGTTGATAAGACGTAGTTATTGGAAAGCGTCTGTAGATTAACTGACTCCACAGAATTGTCTACAAATAGACTGTCTTCTGCTGTAAAAATGTTTCAACAGTAAGAAAAGATGTGCTGGAGGGTAACTGAATAATCTGAGTACACAACTTAACCTGACAATTCCTCGGAAGAATAAGATCTTTCCTTCTGGGTTCCATCTGAATCGCATGGATTACTCATCTTGGATACGCCCTGTAAAACCAATCATATAGTATATCAGGTGAAATTTTTCAAAAGGTGTTTGCAAAACTAATTTAATACCCTGAAATTATTCAACATCAGTATGATGCCCTCTTCCAAATGCAAAAGCAGAGCTCATGCCATTTGCGGTCCAAATGATGCCCTAAGACCTTTTGGTGGGATTTGATCATATGCCCAAATTTTGTTTGTAAGTCGATCTTAGGCCATTTTCCAATAGACTTTGTCAAACTTAAGAAAATTTGACTAACAACCAACCTAGAAATTCAATTAATTTGAAACCGGGAGAGTAATTGAAAAATATGAAATTACTCAAAGCATATGTATGTTGGATGTCTGCAAGTGACAGTTATGCAACTGGCAATTATGTGCCCCCTGGATATATGCAAAGTTGATACTTCAGGCATCTACATATGCACTGCCATACGATTCCTAATACATTCATTAGGTGTTTGTAAAAATAAATCTATATAATTCAGGCATCTAATATCTACGCTGTGCATCATAGCTTGATTTTGACCGCATATATACACTTATAAACACTGCATCCTTGATTTGGGCATCAGCATAAATTGGACAGTGCACAACTTGCTAGAGGTGAAGAGTTTAGAGAACTGGGGTACCTGCTCCCCGTCGCCTTTCTCTGCCTCTGTCTGCGGTGGCACTTCCCCTTTCCCCTCTGCTCCCTGCTGTCCCAGAAGTCGAACCATGTACATGATGAGA